CGCCGCCGGGTGATCGCAGGCAGGCAGGCAGGCAGGCAGCTGAAGAAACCCCCTCCGGGGTCTTTGGGGCCTTCCTGGGTCTGTTGTCGCGCAGGCCGGGAGCTCACGCGCATGCTGCCGGGTGATCGCAGGCAGGCAGGCAGGCAGGCAGCTCCCCAAGGAGTATCTTACTGGCATTTCAGCCAGAGTATATCTAAGCTATTCTTATTTAAGGAGCCAAGGGAAGGCAAAAACAAGAGAATACTGAGTAAGTAAGGAAGGGTCAAGTTATGTGGACCCCGCTTCAGATTAGAAAGTGACTTCTTCTGGAACTGACTACTCTAGAATATTCCCTTCTTCTAGCACCACAGTTGTGAATTTAAGGTAAAGTAAAAGTAAAACTCAATAGTAGAAAGATAGTGGTAGTAAGTTGAGATATGATACGGAGAAAATATTTCATATTTAAAAATATGTATTATTCTAGTAATATCTAAGCAAAAGCATTATTAATAAATGCTACACATGTTCATGTACAGCTGTTGGAAAGTAAAAGGAAATGTTCTGAGTTCAGGTAATAAGATAAATGGACTTGTTCAGAGTTCAGGTGGTAAGATAAGTGGAGGTGATTAGAACTTAATCTATTAAAAATAATTTTGCCAAGGGAGCAATCCAAGCTAGGACTGCCGGCCCATTCAGCAAAAGAAACAAAAGATTTCAAGTTTATTTTCAAAGCAGTTATCTTAAACAGCAAACCAGTAATGTATTCCAGAGTTGAACATCTCTCATGTTTGTACCCATTCAAAATCCACTATTGGACCATAAGAGGTAGTTTTAAATACATGATTTGGCAGGATTTATATCTATAAATTAGAGGATACTTATACAAAATATTTTTCCTACTAAGTAATGCTTACAATTCTTTTTTATACATGTGTTTGACATTATTATTTCTTATTTATTGGTACAATTCAATATACACAATGATCACATTTATCATAGGGAATTTGTACCTGTACATGATGTATCTTTTTTGGTTTTCACTGAGTTTATGGGTATCTTTTAGATATACAGTACAGTTACATTCATCATTGGGATCTTGTACCTTTACATGTATCTTAGTTCTTATTTTTACAATTCTTTATTTTCATAATGAAGTCGAGAATATGTTTTGACGAAGTTCACAAAAACTTTTTTGCCATATATTCAGAGCAATATTCAAATACTTTTCAAAACAATTAGGAAATCTACTTGGCCTAGCATATGTTTCAAGTTTACAGCAATATACGTGTTAATATTTGGCCTTTACTCAAAACTCAAGTAACTAATGGCTCATGATCTTACCAGTCTCACAGTAGGGTTCACCGTCCTCTAAGTGGAAAACATTATTACGAATGGGTTTTCCACAGGCCACACACACAAAACAGGAAACATACCAAGTTTGCTTCAAAGCATTGATGACTTCCTGTTACAAAAAGGTAATCGGATTTAAAGAAAGATGACAATAAGTACACAGATGCTTACTCTAATAGCTGTACCATACAACCCAGTAGAGCTTCACCTTTACCTTGAGATTTTTGTCACAATAACAGGAGCTATTTAACGACAGAATTATCAAAATCTGTACTGCTATGTGTTTTTCACAAACAGAAATCAATAAACTTATTTAAACAATGGTTACTGCTATTTAAACCTTCTACATAATGGTGAATAAAGGAAATATTTCTTAAGTGCTTGCATCAAAACATTTTGCTTTCTTAAAAAGGATGACAGGAAACAGTAACTTACAAAAGTTTCATAGCACATATTATTTCAAAAATATCATGGAGGAGAAGGGAAGCATCTAAAAACTAAAATCTATTTTTGATGCAGTACAGAAGCAATAATGTAATTGGTATGTTCTAATCAATTAGGCTTTTGGAAATCAGCTGTGGCTGCACTATGTACTTACTCAAATCAGTGTAAAAAATCTGAACCATAAAGTACAGATTCTATTCTAGTCTGTTATGGTCTGATTGTCAATTGTACCAATGTATCAAAGACTTGGGCCAGAGTTTAATTAGCGAAAGAGGTTTGGGGGAATTAGTTTTGCAAGGATTATTTCTTTGGATGGTGAATACAGGGGTATTAAAAGCTTATTTGCTTCTAACATTCTTACTTGACTTTATTTATTAATCTTGAATCGACAAAACACAATTTATAAACAAAAATGGTATTAATGCATATATTACTGGTTATTTGTCATCATTTAGGAAGGTACAGGATGAACTATTCTCCTTTGTTCCCAACATGTATGTATTAACACAGACATACTTATGGTGGCATATTTATAGTGTTCTCAAAGTTTTAGACGCACTTAAAGATGCACTCAAAACCTCATACCAACTTTGCACACTGAGAGTATCAGTCAGGGATCAGCAAAGCCATTTCCAACTTTCATATGGGGTTAGAAACTTTTGCTCCTTCTAAAACCAAATTCCAGCCTCTAGTCACCCATAAGAAATGCGTGACCCTTACTCTAATTGGAATGTAGATATTCTACAACAGGACTTTCATTTATTCATCACTATTTATAATGTATCTGATTCTTAAATTACTTTTTGCAAACCAATCCATGTGGTTTGAAATTATTTTTCTATCACAGGTAAAATGCCCACAAAATTGAAGTTACATTTTTAAATGTCACGTGCATTTGAGGAAAATATATAAATTATAAGCCTCACATTTTAAATTCTTTTTGAGGTCAGTGTCCTGTGCTTGAACCCTAATAAGTGGGGGAATGCTGCTCTTATAAAAGCTATGGAATTTAATTTAAAACAGTGAAGGTGTCAGTTCTGAGAACTCTGATGTGTGTGGTCCTGTGCGATCTCTTCATTCCTGAGAAAACAAGAGTCCTGTTGAGGTAGCACACCCACAGTAAATTATTTTTCCCCTGCAGTGGCTAGACTTTCACTGGACAAGCCAACACTCAGTAAGACAAAACCAAAGACAACCTAACCCCGTGAGTCTGATATACTCCCCACAGAGGCCTATTTAGTTTGCTTTACAATACTAAATAGTGGTGAAAGGAGAGAGCATGGATAAAGCAAGGAGAAAATAAAAAGATGGAAGAGTTCATAACAAAAAATATCTTGTTTTAAAACTCACTAAGAATTTAAAAAAGCAATTTCAAATACTTACTACAAGGATCTTCCTTTGGCATTGGCCACATTCAGGAGCCAAGAATTTCTCATAGCACAGCTCACAATACAGTGCCCCCTTTTCCTCTACAAATCCAATGTAGGGCATCGTATTTTTGCAGTGAGCGCAGTTAAACTCTTCTGGGTGCCACGATTTCCCCAGTGCCACTAGAAATGGTCCCCTGCCGGATGAAAACAGATGAATTTGGTTTAGGAATTAAAGGATCTACAGTCTGGATGGGAATCACGCAATGTCCAAATACAGTACTTGCTTAACTTTCCTTCTCACCGACTGCACAGGAACATTGCATTTATGTGAAGAAAAAGGAGAGAGGAGTAAGAGACCTCCAGGATTCTTTAAGAAAGGCCACCCCCCTTTCAGTCTGCAGGGGACTTGGCGGTTTGTTTTACTGAGCATCAGTGTGTCAATCTGTGTACAGAATCATTAGGGTTAGAGAATGAGCGTGTTAACTAGGACAGAAGACTAAGAGCCCTGAGCAACAACGTATGCTTTAAGCAGAGATGAAAATCTGACATTTCTAGAAAGTTTCTATTAAAAATAATTTAACAATGGTTACTTGTTACATGTTTTGATGCAAGCACTTAAGAAATAAAAGCAAAATCTGTTTGATAATGTCAGTCTTAAAAACAGTAATAGAAAATATTTCACTTAATTTCTCTTCCCCACACACTGTGTCATATGCTCATTTCTTAACTTTATTAAACACATCAAATTTCCATCCTCCAAAATGACTACAGAAACTATAAATTATATGCAAACTAAAGCTACTTGGAAAAGCTTTACTTAATTTCAACAGTCTGACTCATCTTTCAATTTTCCATTCTATTGTGGTAAGGACCTCTAACAGGAGACCCACTCAGCAGATCTGTAAGTCCACCCGACAGTACTGTGAGCCAGCAGCCCAGTGTCACACAGCAGATCTCAGCACTTACTCATCATACACAACTGAGATTTCATACCCAATGCTTAACAATTCCCCTCGCCTCTTCTCTAAATGCCACTGGCTTTTGTATCAAGGTAACATGTTCCTTAAGGGCTTTTTTTCTTCACTGAGTTCTGTACAGTAATGAACTGATGCGATGGGCTTAGTTTGCTTGCCAGGAATCCATTATGAAGCCTTCTGTGGTCTTGACACAGGTGAGATGAGCCATTCTAGCCACTGCAACATGATTTTCAGCAGCTACCTCACGCTGATTTTTTTCAGAGTGGCTTTACCTCCAAGGTACTTTTACATTTATCTAATTTGTTCATCCAGCACTCCTGTGAGATACACCAAGGCATTTATTACAAACTCAGTTTCACAGATGGGATATGGAGATGAGATATAAAATGTTCAAAAGATAGGACAAATACTAGAAAATCACTAAGCCAAGGACAGAAGCCGAATTTTCTGATTTCTACTATACTACTCTAGTCATCTAATATTTGGCCTTCAGTCTCACTACCATCAACCACAATAATGAAATGACTATAAGGTAATCATTAGCATCAAATATAGAACTTCTGGACAGATTATAATCAGGAAAAGTCATAGCAATGAGCATCACACAGAGCATTTAAAAAATCTAACAATAACATAAACATTGCTTTCTCTAATGATCTCCAACTGATTAATTCTTTGAAAACAGACTGATGTTTACTCGGATGTTTACCTAATTCTGCAAATCAGGAAAGTACAAAGTTTCTTGATAAATAGTTCATTTTTTTTCCCATATGGACATAACCATATTTTCAGCTCTACTTTTTGTTACCTTTTTTTTAATTTTTAGTTTTGGTTTTTCTTTAGACAGGGTCTCACTCTGGAAGTCAGGCTGCCCTTGAACTTACTATATAGCCTAGGCTGGCCTCAAATTCTGGAGGGACTTCCTACCTCAACATCCCCAGTGCTGGGATGACAGGCAATTACCACCATGCCCTGCCTGCTAACTTGTTTCTTATTAACAAAGCCTGGCAAGTGCAAGGTCCTGAGTTTGACCCCAGGTACAAAAACCAAAACCAAAAACCAAAAATGTTATTTTGTATTGAGCCAGCCCATTCAGCTCTCTTACATTTAAGATAGTTTGTTATTATTATTTTTCAAACTTTAGGTTTCTATAGTTTTGCTATGACTAAAAAGGAGCACTTAGGTTACCTAATTCCTGCCAGAGAAGGCAAGGCTAAAAGTTACCTTTTACTTTCTGTGGACTGTCTCTGCGTTTCTAACTGGCTTACAGTCTTAACAATTCTTCTATTTAGTCTTCTCACTGTAGATTTGGCAAGTAGTTTACCTGCAAAGATAAATGAGGACGTCACTCTGCTGAAAGCTGGACAAAGTTTTTTATGAGTATCCTGAGCTTTTCCATCAGGTAGCTATCTGGTCATATACACATTGGCTAAATTTATGTGACCATAAATACAACAGGACAGAAGTTTGGGGTTTTATATTATAATTTGTATGGATATTAAAAGAGATTCAAAATAATTTATAGGACTGGGCTGAATTTTTTATTAAGGCACATCTTCAGCCCATCTGCAAGGCCCAGTTCCCTTTGAGGCCAGTACATTGATCTGGCTCCTCGGCTGACAAAGGAAATCAGTACAGCCTCGCACTCTGCCTTCTGCTAAAGAATAAGTGCTGCCACATACCTGCCATAGAAATACTGTAAAACTGCTCCTAAAACATGTCTATCAGAGCTACCAGATGCTATCTGATGAAGTTCATGCAAGAAAAAAGATAACACTTATTTGTGAATAATTGCCTAATGATCTCCATTTTCTAGATATTCTAAAGTATTTGTTGAACAAGTCAGACAGAGAGAACTGGGTTCTATGCACCACATAATTTGGGTGTGGGCGTCACCACAGGATTATTTCTTTTCTGAACAGTGCTTGGGAAACAGCTCTCTGAAATTCACCTCTGCCTGTCCTGCAGGTTGCGGTAGAAGAGTGTCCTCAGATCACACACCGGGACTCCTTGGAAATATTCCTACCAGATTTTTGCAATAGGAACAGTTTTGCTTCTCTTGAGCAATTATTTTATTTAATTGTGCAGCAGCCTGCAAAATGAGCTTTCTTTTTTGGTGATCCCTAGAAGGCTTCAAGCCAGAGTTGTAGCCTATGCATAGGCAACAGTGTAAGTCAGTCACAGTTGAAGATACTGTCTCACTAGTGGGATTTTTAATGGCCCCGCTCACACTCTTCATTCATTTGACCTTTTTTAATTCAGAGGGTTATTTATATTTCATATTATTAAAAGTCTCTAAAAACATTGTGGCATGAATTTTACTATTAATAAATACTGTAAAAGTATACTCAATTAAATGAATAAGGAATTCATTTTCTCCTTACCTTTAAAACAGGAGTTGAAATGACGCTTCCTCTAGCCAGATCTCCTTCCTCACACGAGCACACTCAGGGCATACACTGGCCTAACATGCTACTTCTTGTGGCAGTGAAAGAGCATCATTCCTACCAATGCCCTCGGAGTTCTGTATGAACAATAAAAGTCTTGCATATAACAAAGTGCTCTCTTTTCTGTGCCCGCAAAGACTAATTTAACAAATTCATTAACGGGATTAACACAAAATAGGTTCCTCTTGTTCCAGGTAGGATTAGGTTTCCATTTGTGAACTGGAACAACAGGCTTAGATACTGCAAGGTGGAATTAAATATTCAGTTCCCCTTTACTGTACTCTACACCCTTACTAAATACACCTTGACAGAAAAAGGAAAGGAGGGGAGAGAGTTAAAGTATTTGATTAGTTGAAACAGAACAGCTATGACAGGAAATATTTTACTCTCTTTATCTTCTGTGACTTGAGCTGAAAAGGAAAATAGAAGGTGGAGGCAGGAAGAAGGATGCCAGGGAAGAGTTCAGAGAAGGTTACTGAACTTCAAGAAGCCACTGAGAAGACTCACTTAACTCATGTTCTCACTCATGAATCACAGAAAGTACCGGGATACATGTCGGCTATTTCTGGTACCCTGACTTCTTTTTTTCAAGGCAATAGGGTTTTACATTTATTAAAGATGAGAAAAGAAATGGGCTTTATGGAGTTAGTTTGGGCCAAGTAAAAGTAAGAAAGGAAGTACATGTATAGCATGAGAGCAGACTACCGTGAAAGAACACACTGTCCTGACCTCAGTAGCGACTGTCTGTTTGTATCTGCCATTCTTCAGGCTGACATCAGGTCTAGGCCATCCTATCCAAAACTGCTGGAGTTCTCAGAAGTTTACCTGCAGGACTTTAGGAATGGTTCTGCTGCATGTGTCCTAGAACTTTGCCCTTAACAGATCATGCCCACTTTCCCAGGATTGCCCTGCCACCTCTAATCTTCTGCCTCATTTCCCCCCAAGAAACTCAACCCCATAATCCTTTATGAGGTACTAAGGGAGTGGAGGTCACCATCTTCCCATAGCTACTTCCTGCTGATATTAACTGTAGGCCCTACCTCCTGGGGATTTTGTGCTCTCCACCTACCTTAGGGTGTAGTGTTGTGGCTCACCAGCTGGCTTGAAAGAAAACAGTGTCAGAGGACTTATTAGGTGAGAAACTGGGAAAGTGAGTCTTGGTGAACACTATGAGGTTAAGAAGTCTTTGTAAATAACAGAAAATATTTCAGAGGGGGAAGCAAGAATGTTTAATTCTTCAATATATTATTATCTATTCCTTCTCATAACATTATGAACAAAGCAAACACTCAAGTCACGGCAGCTCTGTTGAAAATTGGTTTTCCCAAGTCAATACAATCACATACCTGATTCTATGTGCGTATACTCATCACACACACACACACACACACACACACACAGAAACTCAGAAAGTTAACAGAAAACAGGCATATCAAATCAACTTATCTAGAGATCATAACCATTAATTTTGGGGTATAGTTTCTGTATAACTTTTTTATTCCAATACTGGGAATCAAATTGAGGACCCTGTGCTTGCCAGGTATGCACGGTGCCACTGGGATATCCCCAGCCCATTGTTTAACTTTTCTAAAGCAAAGTGGCTGTATGTCTTGTTAAGACCCTAAATACATATTAATGAATTAGCTATTATCTTTTAGATTAAAAAATTACGTGGGTTCTGGTCCTGGCTCTTCAACTTAGTCAACTTTGTGACTGTGGACAGATTAACCTAATCTCTAGTGTTCCTATCTAAAAAAAATGCTCCTAAGAATAATACGAACCTCAATGAGCTATTATGAGGATCCAGCAGAATAACACAAATCAAGTTCTTGGTGTGATACCAATATTACTCAATAAATAATAGCTTTATTATCAAGCTTAAATACATATCTAGGTATTTATTTTCTTTACATAAAATTGGAATCATACTTAAAGTTCTGAATTTCTTTTTGCCATCTTAATGTAATACTATAAAAATTTTCCTATGTAGTGGTAGTTAAAAAGAAAGGAAATAAAAGTTTGGTCTTGACTCAAGTTCACATACTATGGCTGACTATGCAACTTCTGACAAATATGTAACTTCTCTAGCCTTAAGTTTCTTATCAATGAAATAGAGTAAAACAAGAACTGTCTCTAGGATTGTCATGAATATTTAGGTTAAAATTTTTAGCATATTTAAACTATGCTAGGACCACATCAAACATTATTATCCAAAAACAGGCTTTTTTTAACTTTATAAAGTAATTCTTCATCATTGATGGGTTGTGTTAATGATATGTTTAATTTATAGCCATGAAATTTTAGGAAGCAGTTGACTGATACAGTCTGTAAAATCACATTGTTGAGAAGACAATTTAAAATGCATACATTTCACAGATCTCAAAGCAACAGGAGGATATTCATGGCACCACAGTATCACATCATACAGATGAGATGTTAAATATTTATGTTCTTAATAAATATTGTTTACATAGTAAATTCTTGGTCAATGTCTTTAGTTGTTTCCTTTAATTCAGGGGCTAAATTCTTTAAGCTAGGGATCCTTTTATTTTCAAATAATCTTAACCCGAAGGAACAATAAATAAGACCCATAAATAAGAGGATGCTTAGAGACTGAGCTGGTTGCAGAAAGACGTAAGAGACTATGCTGGCTTCTGCATGAGTAACTCACACGGCACTCCTTACAGGAATAGCTAGACAATCACTGAGCAAAAACACCTGCCTGAATGTGACTCTGCCAGGGCTACACTACATACAATACAATGATGGTCTTTTTTTTTTTTTTTAAGAATTCTACATTCAGGAAGAAATGCAAGGACCATGAATCTCTTTTCACAAAGATACTAAGAAGCTAAACATAAACAGTTCAGTTAGCTCAGTGTAACACAGATGACCAACAGATTTTAATGTCATAGCTGTAATTCTCAAGAAATAAGCCAGAATGTTCATGAGCCCATTCCACGGGGAAATGAAAACCTAGTGTCACTATGTTGGTTTGATTTGCTATGCTGCCTTATTATACCAGGACTCTAAAAGTTAATCTACTCATAAGTGTAAGAGTTGAAGAAAAAGTACTTCTATCATAACTGGATTGGAAATGTTCCATACCAAACTCAAAGCTGCAGTTTCCCAAAATGTAACCTCCATCCATGTGTAATGCCTCCATGTCATTTATGTGAAATATCCACAAACTTGTCAAGACTGAAATAAACCACAAAATCTTTAAACATTACAGCTAAATACAATTATGAAATTTTTAATTGAATATGTTCTATAACTAGATAACCAGTTCAATAATAACATTCAGATTTGTAACATTTTCTAAAAACAATCAAGTCTGCAAAATAACCCAAAAACCTCAACAAAACATTTGCCTTAGTTTTTGCCTTTCTAACAATGTCTTTTGAAATTTTGAAGTATTTAAAACATACCAATTACAAACAAATATATAATATGGTAGAAAACTAAAAGTACAAAAAAACTGTAAAGTACAAAATATACCTTACACTTCTCAGACTTTGTAAGGGTAAAATATCCTGTGTTGAAAGTATTAAATTTGCAACTGCAGCTCATTTTGAAACAGGTGTCTACAAGCATGTCACCTGATCTAAAGCCTCCTTGCTTTGGTGGGCAAGACTGAAACTAAGGCTCAGACCTGGAATTATGCTGTGACCAGGCCTCTGCACTAACCACAATCTATTCAAGCTGCCTAAATATTTGAAGCACCAGGCAAATGTGTTATGTTAATTACTGTTACTGGTCTTCAGGGTCCCTTCAAATCTCAAAACTGTATTGTTTTCTGACTGGCCACATTAATTACTATTTTTCTTTAGTTCTAAAAGGAATGAATAATTCACGTGATGTGGTTTTAAAGCTTTATTTTCAGAGCCCAAAATTTCTGTTTTGTTAAAACAGATTCTAAATGTATTTATCTACTGTACTATCCCACAAAATAATGACAAGAATATATTCTGCATAAAATTGCAAAAGTTGCAGAATATTTTACAAACTGAACATTGGTATTAAGTACTTTCAAGAAAATTTAAAAAAATAAATAACTGACCTGATGATCTGGTTGCAGTGGGCACACATTGGAGTTCGTTTTCCCACTGGGATGTGCTCTGCTTTCTGCACTAAAGTATCCTGGTCACTTGGCTGGGGCTGCCCTACAACTGAGCCTGCTGGTGCCCCTGGTCCCGAGGAAGCTGCACTGTTTGACATTCTTCCAGTAGAAGGTGCTGGAATTTAAACACAGAAAAAGCACAGGAAGAATAATTCAGATAGATGGGTTAAAAATGATCTATTTGCTCATTTGCTCATGTGTATCCTAAAGTTGTGACCCAAATGATAAACTCATTACACAGAAGAACAGAACAGAATATCAAGGACTGCAATACAGTGTGAGAGTTATGACAGGTATATGCTTTGGATGCTTCCTCAACTTCCAAGAAAAGACAGGTTAATGAATAGCACTGGTGATGCATTTTTAGTTAGCTAGACATCTCTGCCAACCATTTATTAGATTTAATTCCAAAATATATCAGAGACACATTTAAAATCTCAATATGTGGAAGATAAAAACAAATTCCTGACATTCTCTCTTTCGATCTGTAGTGTCTAAAACTGCAGTCTGCTACCCAGGCATATAAAGTACTTATCTAGAATCATCCTTGTTCCTTCCCCTCTCTTATCTTTGATAGTAACACATCATACTGGCTTTAGATCACGGATGGTTCTTGACTTTGTCCCTCTCCTCCATTCCTACGATACTGCTCAGTTTAGGTGTTCTGTGTCTTCCCCCAGGACTGGCTGCCAAGATACCTTTCCTTTACATTCATTCTCCCAACTGCCACCTAAGGCTGATATCTCACCCAGCCACAACTCTGAGCGAAGTCTTTCAAGGGTCTTCCTGTCCTGTGATCAGCCAGTGCTGTCCATGCCTCTAAGCACTGCACACCAGCCGATCCCCAAGTTCCCTCCTGTGCCCCAGCCTTGTCTTTCAGCCCTCTGCCTTTCACTTGATGCTACAGTAACACTCCAGTGTCACACTTTTCTTGAGAATGGGTCCGTCTTTGTACGGGCTGCTTTTGCTCTCAGTCATCTCATTTCTCCACCCTTCTTCCAATTTACACACTAACCGCTATTCACTATTTAAGGCTTAGCTCAGAAGTCAATAGTTTCAAAATCTCTCCTAGCGCTACCTCTACCCATGGCCCTTCCACATTATACAGATCATATGTCTCTAACCCATGACCCCATAGGAGAGTGTTAATCCTGACATGTCCACATCACTGGAGTAAGAAATGCTCAGCAAATTAGTGAATCAGATCCTGGGAGTCAGGATGGGTCACAGGAGCGTGGCCTTGGGTGCTATACACATGGCCCTTGCCTGTTCCTCTGGCAATGAACATGTCCCCTGTTCTGCTTCTCAGCCACCAGGAACTAAGCAGCTCTGCTCTACCATCCCCTTCTGCCCTGAGGCGCCGGAGCCTGCTGAGCATTACTGACTCCTCAGTTATGGGTGCTGGGCACTGTGTCTCAGTGACAGGAAAGCTGGCTAATGTATCACACTTTTGGAATGTCTTTATTATTGCTTCTACTATACACTTTTGTCTTTTCTTCCCCAGCTACTGAGTATGCTCCCAAGAATTATGTCTTTTTCATCACCCTCACAATTAATACAGTGTCCGAAAAGAATGAATGGGCTGGAAGAAATACATAACTGAATGAGCACAAAAACCACAAGACTGGAAGCAACAAAAGACCTTCTTACCCACAGGAAATTAAAATCTAATTGAAGAGAAAAAGTACACATTACTGGTCTAAAAGGAGGAATTTATGAAAATCAAGTAATAACTCTGTATGTATATGTGAATATATACATACACACATATGTTGACAGTACCTATATAAAAGGCGTGGCTAGAATTGCATAAAATTAAGACAACCCTCATGACAATACTCCACCATCAGAACAAAGTCTGTCTGCAACGATGTGAACTGTGGATCCAGAACCCCGCATTTAGAGACACTTAGCACATCTCTTATGATGTTATGTCTAGCACTCAATCTGTAAAACTGCCTTTGCTGGCCAAGGAACTCTACTACTGTCCATGTTTCAAGTTGAGTCCTCCAGATTGGAAACATGTTTCCCTTCTCTTAGATTCACACTTTCTCTTACAGAAATGGAAAGAAAATGACTGAAGATTTTAGTTTGCATAGCTTCTTCTCTATTACTTTGTTCATTCTTACAGTACCAACTTGCTCTCTGCTTCTGTCTCCTAGCCCCAGCCTGTATCTCTTAGAGCACCAGACAAGCGTTTTCCAGGATATTTTCCACACCGAATCCAATTATCATTTTTACATGCAAGACATGTGAAGTAAACTTTTCCTTTTGGCACACACGATCAGCTCTTCTGAGAGCTCCCATATTTTGAATCCTCTCCCTCAGTCAAGCACAGCATTCTGCCACCTGTGTGCCTGTGTCCCTGATGCTCCACAACAGACCCTCGCAACATGTTCACAGTGAATGTTTCCAAGCTGGTCCTGCCTTTCTGATACAAACCCACATTCTATTATTTGAGTTCTGGTCTTGGGTTCCTCAGGTCTGGATTCCTGAAAATTCCCAGCCACTCTCTCTGCCACCAGTCTCTTTTCAACCTATTCTGTAGAAGACTTTTTAAAAATCATGACTCTGATAGTACGTTCCTGCTTATTACACAGCTTCTGTAACTTCCCGGCACATGCTGTAAGCGTCCTGCCCATCCAGCCCCACAGGGGCTACTCCAATGCTTCCCTACATATCTCCACCATCATCGTGCTCACTTCGCTTATTTAATATTTAGCCTGTACAATCACTATTGTGTGTGTGTTTGTGTGTGGTACCAGGGATCAAACTCAGCACCTTGTACTTGTGAGGCAGGCAGCAGAACGGCTGAGCTAAATCCCTGGCCACTACAATCACTATTTGAAGGCACTATTCTCAAATTCTTATGACAGCATATGACTTCAGTATGATTAATACCACTTTATGAGAAATTGGGGTAAAGAAAGATTAAGAAACTCATCAAGGTCACACAATAAGAAAAAGGCAGCCCTGAACCTGGGTAGTCTGGCTCCTGAGTCTGTGTTTTACGCATCACCCTGTATTTTAGTCATTGTCCCTCGAGTATGCCAGGCCAGACCCTACCTTTATGGCCTCCACAAAGGAAATGTTCCTTTCTCCACTGCCAGCCACCAATTTCCAGGTTTGTGAGGCTGATGCAAGTTCCATTTTCATCTCCAAGTCCTTCTCTTAACATCAGAGTCAAAAGTGCTTTTCTTGCTCCCTTAACCTCCAGTAACATCCTATTTGTATAATTCATTTAGTATTTATCAGTACGATATTCATACCTTTTCTTCCCAAGCCAATTATTAACTCTTAAAAATGGGTATGAACTGTACAATTGTATATACTACCAGAAATCTACCTTACAAATAGGTGGAAACAATATTTCATTGAATGGGGAAGATTCTTTTTTTAACCTTTTAAAAGAAAACTACAGAAGCCAGGAGGATGCTGCACACCATAATCTCAGCACCCTGGGAGGCTGAGGCAGGAAGACTAGAAGGTCGAGTTCAGCAAGGCAATTTAGCAAAAACTTGCCTCAAAATAAAAAATAAAAAGGGCTGGTAATATTAGTAAAAAGGCCCTGGTTCAATCCTCACTACCAAAAATAGAAACAAAAACAAAACTATAGAGACAGATATTTATTTATTTATTTATTTATTTATTTTTGGTGCTGGGCATTGAACTCAGGACTTTGCACTTCCGCACAGGCTACACTGAGCTACATCCCTGACCCTAGAGATAGACAGCCTAATAAATGTCAGTTAGGTTCAGGATTTTAAATTATTGGAATGTTCCAATTGGAAAATCTGAAAAATCAGACCACAGAGAAAAGTCAAATCCTTTCGTCTACCATGTGCTTTTATTTCATCACATTATTTATGCATAAGCCGTGAAATACGGAGTCACTGAAATATTTTTAGCAATAAATGAGTATAGTAATTCTCCTTCAGTCATGTAAAATGGAACATAATCCATCTGGCCATGTGTCAAGAAGATATATGGGGAACTAGCTGATTTAACACGAGAAGCCATTCTTGAGCACGAAACATGTGACTATCCTAAGCACATGTAGAAGGCTCTAAAGTCTACTGCTGTTCCTCTTTTGGAAGAAGAATCTTGCTTTCTGCACGACTCCATTTTAGCCACTTTGGGTAGGAGGGAAACTCTCACACCTCCATTTGCTGCTGTGATGCTAGCACACTGGCCCGCACACAGAGCTACACCAGCCCTGTTAATTACCGAACAATTCCAGAGGCAGTTATTTCCCATATAAATAAAGTATGTTTCATTGCTTCAGACTGAATTTCCTTTAGAGGAAGGGGCAACCTTTGAGCAGTGAGGTAACAATGCTCCTGGCTTTGGCTCACTTGGCTTCCTGGGGAGAGCAAGGGGTAAGAAAAGGAGGTCCAGGGAGAGGGGACTGCCACAAAATGAGCCCCACTTCCACTGTCATTTTGTGAAGCACGATATTATACAGAGAAAACCAGTCTTCTGGGAGCACAGCAACCACAACACTTTAAATTTATGGAACTGACTGTGAAAAATCTACTTTATACAGAAAAAAAAAAACAAACCCTCTGTTTACAGATAGCTTCAAGATGACAATCTCATTTGTAACCAAAGGTACCTATTTCTCTCTTTTAGGTTCTAGTAAGATCACTGAATCAGCTCCACTTCCCAATTTAGGAATCAAAGTCACAGAAAAGTGTGATTTATCCAGACTAAGTCAGTGAAGTGTCACAACGAGGACACTGGCAGGAAATGAATTCTTGACTCTTGATTGCTTTTTCAACCTTAATCTTGAGCAACTTTCATTAAATTTGGCTTCTTTTGTGGGTAATTGCTCTCTCACAGGGACCTGGTTTCAATTTTTTTTCTTTTGTACTAAATACAATTCAGCATCATAAAATTCTTCTAGAAATTGAAAAGTGACCTGCTACTCTCCAATCCAAGTGTCGGTAACATTCTCTCTCTCATTAACTTAAAAATTGTTATTTATGGGTCTTCTAAAGGAAGAGAACCAAGCTTTGCCAATTATGACCTTGTAAGTAATCACATCTCTTGTAAGTCTCACTCATTGCTTCAAAACAAATTTGAGATACATAATTTAATCCATAATACTCAGTA